AGACGAGGATATAGTAAAAATTAAAATATCAGTATCAGCGAATGTGTCTTGGGCCCTCCCATGTACTGGGCAGCACGTCAGGCGCTTCTCAGATATTAACTCAACTCCACCTCAACACTGTGAAGGAGGTGCTGTTATGATTCCCATTTTAAAGACGGGCAAACCGAGGCAGGGAACTTCAGTTATTTGCACAACGTCCCACAGCTGGAGAGTTGGTCAGTTTATCAGACACCCAGACAGTCTGCCTCCAGAACCTGCGACTCTAGCTCCCCCTGCAAGGGCGAAGAGGGAATGGTACGTCTGGGGGTAAGTGAACTCGCAGAACAAGTCAGAAAAGGAGCAATCAGAGGGTACATTCTTACGCAGACGTGCTTCTGGCGTGAGGATTATAAATACACACCAGGCCAGATGGCCCCCGAGGAGAATACAGAATGAACGCCATCTATTCCTCTTGTGGATTCTACTTAAGCCCTTCAATGCCACCGAGCCGTGCGTGCGCGTCTCCATTGTTAAATATTTTGGATGACTGGGATCACTTACAAACAAACAAACAAACAAAATAAATGGGCCTGTTGTCAAAGCTGTGGTCTCACACGTGGGCAGCTGCGAAGGGTTCAGAAATCGACACTAGGACTCTGGAACCTTGCTTCTCCAGGGGTGGCACCTGGGCCGGCAGCATCGGCAACCCCCCGAAAACGGGTTGGAAATGCAACCCTCGGCCCCGCCCCAGAGCTCCTGAGTCAGAAGCTCCGGAGGTGGGTCCCGGCCGTTGGTTGTAACAAGCTCTCCAGGTGATTCTGATGGATGTCCGAGTTTGAGAACTTGGCGGGGAGGATGGATTCGTCGAGAAATCCATACAGTGGAGCCCAGGTTAGGCGAGAAGTCCCCTCCGTGTGGTGTGACACGGCAGGGAGGAGACAAAGATGTGTGCCCAGTGCTGTCGCCCAGAGGTGTCAGCAGGCTCGCCCTGGGGGTGGCCCAGGCCTCGCCCCAGCCCGCTGCAGCAGAATCTCCGTGGGACAGCATCACGGTAATGGAGGAGTGTCCTGTTTCCCGTCCCTTCAAAGAGTGACACGTCCCTACCAGCCAGGAAGTTGCGCTAGGAGACAGAGCCGCTTAACAGGCTGCCAGAGAAGTAAAGAAGTAACCACGTAAACACGGAAATGAATCTCGAGGCAGCACACGTGCGGCTCTGCAAAGTCTTCCGTAAACTTGGGCGCGGTGTCTGTCTAGCCCCCTTTTCTCTGCGTTTCAGTGACATCTGGACTCAGCCTAGCCCCTCGCCCTTCCTCGCCACACATCCCGTGAGATCCTGACCCCTCGGCGGTGCTGCCAGCCGGCTGCCCAGGCCCACGCCGCGCTCTGAGCCTGCCTCTGTCCCTGCCTCTGACCCAGGAACGGGCCCCGTGGCTGGAAGTCTCCATGCCGCCGGGTGACAGGTGCCCTCGCTGGGAGAGACGGCTGCGTCCCTGGCCCCTGGTCTCCATAACCAGCTTGTCAGAAAACCAGGCGACGAGGTCACCCTGACAGAGCGCTACTCGTGCTTGAAATGAAAGGAGAAACCAGGAAGCTGGGCACTGCCTGCGTTTTCCAGCTGGCGGGGCGCAGAAGGTGGGAATCAGACTGGTTTATTGGGACGTTCAAGGTGAGAAATGGAAGACCATCTCCCGCCCTGCAGAACTGTCCTCTCCACCAGCCCCTCCACCTTCCCCGCCCACCCCGTCTCCCCCGACCCCACTCGGCCGACCCCCTGCGCAGCGCCCCCAGCCCCCTTCCTCACCCCATCTGTCCTCTCCTCCCCTTCCCGCCCGCCCCCCCAGCTCCCCCCATGCCAGCCCACCCTCCTCACTTGGTGCTAGTTAAGGCGGTGAGGTCCCCATCCTCTCTATAAACTACCCACATGAAAATTTTTAAAAGCATTGTTAATATTTTTCCTTCTGTTACTTAGTGAAATTCTATGAAGTGCGGCTGCAGCACAGGATGAACGCCGGCAGGATGAACAGGGCAGGCGCACGGCCTTTGCAGAGCCCACCCTGCGCGCCCCGACCCTCTTCCTTGGGTGTGTTTGCCCACGCATCCCAGCCAGCCTGCAGGTGCCTCAGCTTCTCTGCGCTCTGCTCAAGGCCCCCACGGCATTTTGTAGAGGGTCCATCCGCCAGGGGCAGCCCCCGCCAGGGGCGTGTCTGGGCTTCGCCAGCACGGCGCCCGTGGCTCCCGAGGGACGCAGCCGCCTCGCTGCGGCAGGAGCAGGGCGGGCCACTCTCGCCTCTGGACTCGGACTTGCTCGGGTTCCAGTCCCGACTCTGCCTGGCTCTGCGGATTTGAACAGTTTTTGTCAGCTTCCCCATCCTCAGCTTCCTTATCTCCAAAATCCACACAACCAACCTCCCAGGGACCCTGACGGGAGACCTCACACCCCCCCATCGCTACCTGAAATTACTACGCCAAACATGTGAAACTGCGACGTGATGATCTGCAACTACAAAGAAGTCCGGTTCAGATTCAAGTTCACCTTAACACCCTTCTCTTACACACGTCTGTGTGTTTTATTTTCTCTCCCTGCGGCAGACCGTAAGCCTTTACTTAGTGCCCTGTTCCTGGGACCTTAACAGTGACCGGACACGGTACATGTGATCGATAAAAATTTGTTGCAATAATGAATGGCATGCTTAGAGTAATGCCCGGAACACAGTAAGTATTCAATACGAGTATTATTATTATTAATCATAATTAGGCAGCAACTGGCAAAGCAGGGGGACAGAATGAAACGCTAGATGATACTGGTTCAAGGGAAAACTAACGCCACATCTCCAAGCAGTTGACCCTTGTCAGTAACTTCCGTTGGCTGTACCACACCCCCCTTTCTGTTCAGCTGGAAACACTGCCCTGAATGACACTGGTTGACACTGACACTTTGAATAATAGTATCAATCGTATTATCAGATATTCTCACCTACAGAAACTTGGAAAGGGTGAGGATGAGACTCACGATAAAACACAGCTTCCCAGACGTGCTGAGCAGCTAGACCCTGACCCCAGTGCTTCGAGGTGTCCTTTTTAACGCCCTCCACAAGCCTGTTTGGGGGGTTCCCTCCCTCCTCCCGGGTGAGGAGCCACCCCTGAGAGGGAGGGAGACGCTGGAACGCTCTCCTGGGCTGGTCCCCAGGGATCCTTTCCCTCGCCCGCTGGGTCAGGAGCCCACCCCTGTAAGTACAGCCCTGCCCTACGGGCCAGGACACAGCTGCCCAGACGAGCGGCCGGGACAGTGTCCAGAGAGGCCTCAAGAGAAAAACCCGACTCAGAGACACAGGCCCGGGAGCCGAGCGTTTGGTGCTGTGAACCGTCAGCCGGAGCTGTCCCCTCACAGCCCCCGGCCCGCGCTGGGCTCCAGGGATGTCCAGGGCCAGAGCCGGGCCCCCACTCCATGATGGAGACCTCCGGCCCCCCCGCCCGTGCTCCCTGCAGCACCCTCCCCCGGAGGCTCCGCGCCCCGACTCTCAGGCATGCTCAGGGGACAGGTTAGGGCCCCTGCACATGCGGGTCCGGTCAGGGGAACGGCCTCGAGCAGCTTTCCCGTGCATGGCCTGTGCCAGGTGGTTCTAGAAGCGATGTCTCATTTCACCCTCACAAACTGGGTATCAGCGTGTTTTAGCCTGTGGGGACCGAACACTACACTGAGGCCTATCAGGAAGCAGGCACCCCTGTCCCTTTGCCCCAAGGCCCTTCTGGGGCCCTAAAGGCAGCAGGGCCCAGGGCCGGACAGACCTCAGGGGGGTGCAGACTGTGCCCGAGCTCCCTCGCTGAGCCCGACTCAGACCCCCACCCTCTGGCAGGCATTAGCATTACTGCACAGAAGCCAGCAGGCAGAACCCCAAGTGGAAGCAGTGGCCTGTTTTACGCTTCCTTCAGGTCTGCTGCGTGGTTGGGGGACAAATTCACCCTGAGGTTAAATGCGTCCTCCTTCAGGAAGTCCTCCCAGACTCATCCAGGCCCTGAGGAGCTTCCTCCTTGCTTCTGCGGTACTTTTCAGCACTTTCCATGTGCTTGCTAACGCCTGTCCCGCTGCCTGTGACTCTGGGCCCCTTTCCCCCAGGCGTGGTTTCTGGAGCACCTGTGATCCACGCCCCGCCCCCCATCGAGCACATTCTCACACGCCAACGATGATTAAGGAGGCGCAGGGGCACAAAACTGCTCTGGCTGGTGTGAAACCCCAAGTAGCAGCGGAGAAGCAAGGCGGAAGGACTCAGCCTGCTTCAGCTGACGCCGGACGCGCCTGCACACCACCAAGCTGGTGTTGTCAAAAAGCTTCTAAACTGAGAAAACACCCCCCACTCCCGCCAGGCCTCGCCCCCCTGGGGGCGGAAGGCTTCGGGAGAGGCTCAGCCTGTGAAACGCATTCGGAACAAGTAAATTTAGAACGAGCCAGGAAGGCTGAGGCCGCGAGCCGGCCGCCCTGCACCAGCCGGGTACGCGGGGCGGGGCGGGCAGGCTGTTCACACCCTCTGCTCTCCCTTCTAATTCTGAGAGTCAACCAGCCTCGGGCAAGATTTTCACAGATTTGTTCCTTTTCCTGGTGCGATGAACTTAAATCGACATTAGAGGTGTTTATTTTGAAGTGAGAAAGGGATTCTGGAATGTCACAACCGAGGACTCTAACTGGAGAGACCAGATCCACGGACATGAAGGCGCTTGAGCCAAAGGCCAGATGCCAACCACGTATCTTAACTCCGCTGATATGACGGATTTGCAAACAGGGGCCCTTCCAAATAGTCCTCCGGGCCTGCAGAGTGAGGAAGCCACAGAACCAAAGCGCGGCCTGTGGAGTTCGTGCCGCAGCCCAAGAGGAAGCAGTCACCCCAAACCTGGACAGAAGACGTCCAGACGCCCACCCCCGGGTGTTTCCACCTTCCTACGCGGCAGGGGAGTGCAGTGCGACCACATGGCATTCCCTGGACCATGTGCCACCACCACCCCCAGAGGCAGAGGCGCCCAGCCCTTACCTGCCTCCTTCCTCTGGGTCCGTCTTCTGCCACAGCAGCTCCTCACAGCCGGAATGCCACCCAGAGGATGGGAAAGTCTCTACAAACAATACAAATACCGTGTTAGTCACTGCGGCCTTTCCCCAAACCACCCCTCCCATGAACAGTGATGAAATGGCCACGTGACACAGGACCGTTTGAGGCGAGATGGTGAAGGGTGCCATGGACGGGGTGTGGGTGGAGGAGCTCAGGGCGCCCGGCCCGCAGCCTGGTCGGCCCCTCTCTCGCAGGAAGTCCAACGAGGGCCCGCGGTGCCGGGAGGCCTGCATGCGCCCGAGGGAAAATGCGCCGGAGCTGTGATGGGCACACACAGATGAGGATGCTCGGGGACTCGGGTGGAGCTGAAGGATCGTGGGGTGAAAGTTTTTACCTTGGCTTTATTTATTTATTTATTTACTTTGAGATGTGTAGAATGTTGGGAGCCAGAGGTGACTGGAGAAGGGAGCATTACCACGCCTTCCAGGTCAGCTCGGAGAAGAGAGGGTGGACCGAGTGGAGAAGCCGCGCCGAGCTCGTCTGGCTGGCCCTCCGTCCACTGAAGGTGGAGCCCTCTTTGCTGCCGACCGGTAAGAGATGCCCCGCAAGCCAGGCCGCCATTCTCCCCGTACCAGGAGCGTCCGTGACGCAGGACGCCTCGTCCCCGGCCTCCCTTCTCCCTCACACCGTCCGGGCAGCCTTGCTACTTTGTTCAGACTCTCAGTTCCCAGTAGAACCACTTCCACGTGCTCACACACCCACCCTCTAACCAAAGCCCCCGCGTAAAACCTCGGACAGAAAAGCTCCCAGCGTCACCGGCTGACGCAGAGTCTGTCCACATACGCTCTGCCCGGGCTGAGCGCCGTGAGCAGGTCGCGGCCAGGCGACTCTGACCTTCAACACGGGCGAGGCTGACGAAAGGCGTCAGCAGTAAGAGTGCCCGGGGGCCCCACCGACGGGTCGAAAAAGAACACAAAAGAATGAAAGCGAAACACTTCCAGGAGAAAGGGCGTCCTTTGTCAAGTTTCGAGTTTGGTTTCAAACCAGAGGGATGTTCTGCGTGTTCCTGGGGAATTCTGAAAGCATCTCGACTCTGACGCAGAACCCTCCAGCGTGTGGGCGAGCGGAATTCTTAGGGAGCGGCCACGTCCGCGGGCTGCAATGGTCAAGGTCTGGGCCCGACCAGCATCTTCGGGGCCTGCGGGAACTAGGACAACTTTAAAACAAGGGAAACAAAACACCTCAGCTGGATTCAGCTGCTTACTCTCTCCAGTTTGGCAAAAGCAGGTTTGTGCGGGGCCCCGGGCAATGGTCTGTCCAGGCGCTCACCCTGGGGGGGGGTGGGCAGCAAAGCCACGCACGCTGGGTTCACGCGTCCGTCTGCGCCAGCGGGGGTGGAAAGCAAACTGGGCTGTTATCGGATGAATCCAAGCAGTGCCAGAGGTCGGCTGGGTCGTTTAGAACCAAAAACACACTTCCGCTGTTCACACTTGCTGTGTGAGGAGGCCACCGTGCTGAGTGCTCTGGGAGTGACTGTCCACGTGCTTATGGCTTTCCATGCCCTAAAAACGGCTTACGGTAACTTCCCAGAATAGACCGAGTTTAACGAGATAAATAAAATAAAAATTAGCAGATCAGGAAATCAAAGGGGAGGGGGAAGAGAGGCAGTGCTGTTCCCATGACCACAGGCACCCGGGAGCGTCTGTCACCGTGCAGGGCGCCGGACGGGCTGCTCCCCAGGAGTCTGACCCCGAGCACGTCCGTCCGACGGGATGCACAGTAACTCAGCTCAACCCGTCCCCGAGGAGAGACGAGAGACGTCGCAGGACAGGACGACCATGCGGTGGACCCCGCGGGCAGAAGGGCCAGTTGCCGGGGCAGTGGCCGTCAGCGTTGGGCCAGAGCCACCTCGTGGGGAGGCCCAGTGGCCTAACTCAGATGAAAGAGGGGGTCTCTGATGGCCCCCGGCTGGGGTCCTTCTCCAGGGTGACACCAAGCCGAGACCTGGTCCTCGGGGAGCTGCACAGCCAGCGTGGAGTCCCTCAGCGAGGACGGGTCCCCACGTGGCTTTCGGGGACTGAGCAGTGGCGCTGGGGGAGGGAGCAGAGGGCAGCTCCCACAAGCTCCAGAGCAGCCACGCTTCTGCACCGGGATTCCTGCACAGCCTTCGTAGAGGCGCATCGCTGAGGACCCGCGAGGGTGTGGGGACAATACTGTGCCACACCCCAGACCCGTCCTGGACCGGGGACACACTCGGGGTGGGAGTTCAAGGCATTCCCCTTCTGGAAGGCCGCGTCTGGTAGAGCGGCCAGGGGCACGCTGGGAAGCCAGCCACTTCTGCGGAGGGCGTCTCTGCCCCCGGGCCGGGCTCCCACAGCCACCGAAGGTCTCAGCTCCTCTATGAAAACCACCAGCAGGGTGACCCAGGGACGCCGTGGGCGTGGGGGCCACGCTCTGTGCGCCCTCAGTTGCCCTCAGGCTTGCAAACGCTCACTTCTTCTTTGGACACTGGGGCCTCGTGCCCACCGTGTTGAATACGTGCTCAGGGAACAGGACGGAGCAAACGCTTAAACAGGGCGGCCCCCCTGCGAGGCCCTGTCCTGTGGGCATCAGGCGCGTCCGACGTGGAAATCATCCTGTGACCAAGCAGGTGCACTTCCCGCAGCAGTCACTGAGGTGGGAACCGGCGGAGCCGGGTTCCACCTACAGGCCGGCTCCCCACCCGACACCGAGGGCCTCGATCAGTGTGAACGGGTCGCCACAAAGCCTTCACCGGCCACCGCTGAAACCGCGCACGCCGTCAGCGGCAGCTTCTGGGTAGACTTCAAAGCTACCCGTTCATCAGACACCTGTGATCCGCGGGCGGTGCTGCAGCCAGCGCCACAAGCCATCAGGAGCAGCGTAAAACCAGGCTGACCCCAACGAAAGGACCCCTGGCTTGGCCTCTGAAAGACACTTACACCCAAAACTTGAAAGAGTGGAACAGATGAGCAGGGAGCCGTTATCTGCTTAGACAAACACGCACGGAAGGCACGGCTAAGGAGCTCTGGAAACAGACTTTCCCAGGGCCCGTCTGATACAACTCAATTACAGCATTAGATTTCCCTGCAGTCCTTCAAGAGTGTGTTTAGTGTCTCAAGTAAACCACGGGGGTAGAGTTTAACCGCAGGCACGGTTAGCACCCAGCTCCACGCAGCCTCGGGAAGCCGCATCTGCAGGGCACCGCTGGGCATTCCTGTCCCGGGTACAAAGGCCTCCTTCTGACAGTGATTTCCCACAAGCGATCTCTGGCTATTAACTAAAATAAGCAACATGCCCCGTAATAAAAATGAGGTCAGAGATAAAGCATCCTAGAGAAAAGCAAACATCGTTCTCAGAAGGTCCAATAAAACCAGGACAATTCTGGTGTAAAGAGAATTCAACACCAAGCTTCCCGAGTCGAAGGACGGCCCCCCCGCCGGCCCAGCCCATCGCTGCGCCCCCGCTAAGATCTAGACGAGGTGGGATGGGTGTCTGGTGCACGGCTGTCCTCTGCCGCGTTGCTGTTCCGTCTGCCCGTGTGGGTTCTTCCCCAAAGAGCGTCCAGGCCTTCGCGCAAGGGGCACTGGCTTGCTCCCTTGCCCCCACTCTCCTCCGCTCCCCAGGAGGAGGACTTGGTCCCTGCCCCTCGCAGGCCCCCTAGTCATTTGTCTTGGCATCTTTTCCCCCAAAACCAGGAGGCCTGGCAAAGCAAGACAGCCCACATCGGCCAGCACAGTGAGTGCACAGCCAGCAGGAAACGGTCAACAGATACGTCAGGAGAATGAAAAGGACAGCAGTCCCAGGATCTATGAAGGGAACTCAGTAGAGATGGTCCACAGTTCTTTTCTTAAAAGCCACCAGCCCCCACGCGAAGGTGGACCGTGTCACAGCACCCCCGGTGCTCTGCCCAGACGCCCGGCGGGGCACGAGCCTTTCCACGGCTGGGACGGTTGAATGACCGATGAAGTAAGCATTCGAACTTTTCTTCTAAATGCCCTCACTTCAAAATACCACTCCTCCCCTTGGCAAGTTTCATAAGCCCTTCTCTACAGACACGTGGAGATGGAGTCCTGCCCCGGCGTAGATGGCTCCGCTTGCTCTGTCCTCACCACGTGTGTCTTGAGCTGCTTCAGAGAGGGGAGAGCCACCAACTCTTTTGGACACAAATTTCTTCGAACAGGAAGAAGTAGGTGTCACTGTGGTGCTTAAAACACAGAACAGAGGTGCGTGCATTGTTCAGCAGCTAATTGCTTCCTAAAACACAGTCTCGAGCCTCCAGCTTGCTAATGCAAAGACATCCAACAGAGAGGTTTTTTTTTTTTTTTACTTAAACACTGTTATTTAGTTTATTTATTTTTGGGTGGGGAGGTAATTAGGTTTATTTCCTTTTAGAGGAGGTACTGGGGATCGAACCCAGGACTCGTGCGTGCTAAGCATGCGCTCTGCCACTTGAGCTACACCCTCCCTCACATAGAGAGGTTTAAATGAAATAAATATGAGGCATTTTCTGAGGGCACCATTTAAATAATTCCACGACTACCAGCTCGTCGCCCCTGGAAGTGTACCTGCTTCACAGACCCGTTCTTAGCTTTCTGGTTCTCTTCTTCAAGACGACCCAAAATGGGCATTTTTTTCCTAAAGGTATAAGCTCTACTAGGCTATGAATTTTATTTTAAAAAAAAAAGTGCTTAACAACAATTCCAGCTGCCGAGAAGGTTAGAATCTAGTTGATGGTCGAGACTACGTAAACCAGCTCAAAATCACTGACACCTTCAAAGAATTGGTCTGCTTTTCAAATTACACCCCCTTCTTCTACTGCCAGTCCCATGCATTTTATTCTCTGTGTGTTCTGTCGCAAATTCTCTCTTGACACCCTGATTTTCTTTTGAAAAGAAATAACACAGTTCAGTAGATTTTTAAAATATCAATCTGGTATCAGAATTTCATTTATTAAAGAAACAAACATCAACACTCCATTTGTCTGCAGCTAGATTATAAAAAGAGCTTGGCGTGTCCCTTGGGGGGCTCATGCCAGGCCACACACGTCCCCGAAATGGATGAGCCCTCGGAAGGCTTGAAACACACTGGGCCCTGCCTCCTGGTACCGGTCACCGGCGCTCAAGGGCAGGCTCTCCTTCTGGACCTTTCTGAGCTGTGAACCTCCGAGGGCACGCCTTTCCACAGTGACATCACAGGGGTCCGCTTCCAGAGGGCTTACCTGGTAATCTGCGTTCTGGTGCTGAAGTCCAGCGACCTCATGGAGCGCAGAACTTCGATGCACCCCAAGTACTGCAAGGGGAAAGAAACGCCAGCCGTGAGCCCTGAGAACTGAGACGCACAGACCGCCTCTCGCCGCAGCAAGGCCGTTTCTGGAGCCACTCGCGTCTCCTAAGCCACCTTTGACCTCTATATTCACGGGGGCCCTTTGTTCTGTTTCTGTAGAAGCAGTAACTCACACCCAACAGAAGATATTCCGTTTGGCACTCGACTTGACTCTCCTGAAACCCGTTGCTATGTTTTATTTTGTCTAGAAATACATTTTCAAAACCTTTGGCTGAGTTATGACTCGCATGCTGCAAAATGCAGAAATCTTACATGTCTGATTCAATGAATGTTTAAATATGTACCTGCTGTGTAACCACCACCCAAACCCCAATGTCCCAACATCACATTTCTAGTCTTTACGAAGCTTCTAGAGGTTTATAATTTTTAAACAAAGAATGAAAATACTATAATATCAACATTTTGGCCAACGTTAAACTTCATTATATAATAAGCATATTGGGGGCTCTATGAATAAACTGTAGATTGCCCCCAAAGGCGCTCTATTCTGACTCACCAGAAAGACCTCTTTTGCATTATTTAACAATTTTCAGAATTACTTATACATCTAAATTTGTAGCTGAATTTTTTTGTCAGTTTCACACGTGAAAATGTGTGCGTATTTGTGAAAATATGGCCACAGCTAAAGCCAAACACGCAGAATGAGAGAGATACACCATTTGTGTCCAAAGCCCTTGTGGAGTTTGAAGGTGCAGATGTTTCATACCAATGCCGTTAAATTCAGACTTAGCAGGAAGCGCCTTCACGGTGTCGTCCAGAAAAGGCTGCATTTGAATTATTCAGAAAATCTGAATTTGAGCCTGGCTCTGTCATATCTTATTACATAACTTCAAGCAAAACTTTAAATTTCTCCAAAATGTGACTCTTACTCCAACCACTGCACAGGCCCGGAGTTATTTAAATTCCACCACTTCCATCAGCCGCATGGGCACCATGAGCAGCGTCATGGAGGCGGGAACCAGACGGCCACCAACACTGCAGAGGCACGTGGTTAAAGCGACATCGCAGAACAGGCAAACGCCAGGACCAGCATCACCGGGTTCTGTGACCACCACCACCACCACCAAAGCCGAAGGCTTAACGAAAACGCCATTTCCACCATCACAAAGTTGCCAGCACCACGGCCAACGCTGCAGAACGACGCAGGCACCACGAGAGTCACAGGCTGCGGGACCGTTGCTGCCGAGTTGTGCGGGGGCCGTCACCACGGCAGCAGGGCCCTCCGGCTACCAGGGTGGCCGCTGTGTGGAGACCGCGACCCACTCTGCTGAGCTGGGGGGTTGCCACGCCCAGCGCTGTCCCAGCTGTGGGACCATCGCAGCAACACCCCAGAGGGCTGTGAGTCCCACCGCCAGCCGCACTGCAGAGTGAAGAAACTGCTTCAGCCGCAGCGGCGAAGCTGTGTTAACAGCACCACGATCTCGCAGAAGTGCGTGATTGCTGTCACCAGCCCCCCTGCAGAGCCGTGCCGGTTTCACATCCACAGCCACAGACTCGGGGAAGGGACACCCCGTGACCCCCACTGCAGACGAGGGAACGGGACAGCGGCCGCTGCAGATCGTCTGAAGGCCGTGCCCACCATCACAGAGGTGCTGGATGACGGTGCAGAGTCACGGGAACACCGCCACCACCCCGCAGCGTGATGTGGACGCTGCGAACACTCTCACAGGTACAGAATGTCACGACCTCACGGTGACGTGTGGACGCCAACACTACCATCATCGTAAAGGTGTGTAGGTGCCATGTGACCAAGGCACAGTGCTATCTGAATTACGCCACCACCCCCGTCTCGCCATCACAGCTACGTGAATATCATAACCACCAGAGCAGGCTTCCGTGAAGACTGCCTGCAGCCACTGCACAGAACGACAACTAGCACGGCCAGCGCTGCCAAGGAGGGGGAGCCTGCCGCCTTCAGCGCTGCAGAGCCGTGTGGGCCCCAGCACCGTCGCCAGCTCTGCAGGGCCATGTGGACAGCACGGCCAACTCTGCAGACTTACCCGAGTTACACGACCGCAACCGACGTCACAGACTGTCGTGGATGCAGCCACAGCCGACACCACAGAACCACGTGAAAGCCGCCGCCGCCGCCGCCACTAACGCGGAGCCGTGAGTCCCGCGACACGTGGAGCAGAGTTACAGGCACGCTGACTGCTCAGAGTCACGGGACAGGGAAGTCCGCACCTCCGCCACCACCGCTGAGTTGTGAGAGCACGGCCGCCAGCTCTGCCGCGGAGTTACACGGAGGCCGCGACCAGCTCCGGGGAATTATGACCGTCCCCGCCGCCGCGTGTCGCTGCTCTGCGGCACCACCGCCGAGGGCGCGGGCTTGGGTTACCCCCCAACAGCCTGTAGCGATGCGTTTTCTCACCGCCGACCATTAGCAAGCTTATTTCTCCAGCCTTCGTAGCGCCGTAGGCGTCAGTCTTTTGAATCTTCTGCCTATCGCGGGCAAAAGCATTTCTTTTTATTTGTT